GAAGAGAAGAGAAGAGAAGAGAAGAGAAGAGAAGAGAAGAGAAGAGAGGAGAGGAGAGGAGAGGAGAGGAGAGGAGAGGAGAGAAGAGAAGAGAAGAGAAGAGGCATGGGATTATCTCTTTCTCCGAAGTCCTGCAACTCCCAGCTTTCTTCAATCCAAGAAGCATCCTTCGGTCATCTCTCTCATATTATTAATTTTTCCGGGAGCGATTCAAGACGTGATATAGTCCTGGCTGGAATGAATTTTGGCTGATTCTTAGCATGACATTGCAAGCTAGTGATAAAGTTTGCTGGCTTTGGCTGATCTCAAGCCAAGCTCCTTTCTAGCACTGATGACGTTACCTAGTTGGGTCATGAAACGTGGCTGGGTGTGTGTGTCATGTGGCCGGGTGGGAGTGACGTTGAGTTGGCCACGCCCACCCAGGTTTTGTGGTTCCCGGCGTTTTCTTTTCCGTGGGAAACGGGTCCAAATTGGCTCTTTGAGTGTTTAAGGTTGCCGAGCCCTGGCCTAGATAGAAGGCGTGTGAGACGGAGGGCGAAGACAGCTCCTTCTCAAGAGCTCCCAGATTACACACTGAGGATGCAGCGAGTAGAGTCCTCAGCCTAGCAAGATTGTGTCTATCGTCGTGAAACCATAAAGACAGGGGAGGCATGCTGGGGGTTCGGGAGAGGCCCCAGCTAAGATTCGGTGCAGTTTGGAGAACCGCCAAATCCCACTCCTGGCTGCCCCGCCCACCCCCTCCCCTCCCCTCCCACGCGGCCCGTTTTGGATGCAGGGAAGCGCAGGGATTGCGTGGAGGTTCAGGGAGGGCAGAAAGCAGGCCTCGCAGAAGTTCAGGAAGGCCGGAAATGGGCCCGTTTCCGCCTTCCAGAGAGCCTCCGGAGCCCGGGGAAGGCAACAACGTGGTGCAGGAGGCCAACTAGGCCACGCCCACCATGGCCATGCCGACCCAGCCGCCAGGCAGAGAATCTCTTTGCTAAAAAATTTTTTTTGAAGCCTGCCCCAAGACATGAAAACGTCAAGTAGGATTTGACAGGAGCGACAGATTCGGGGCTTCGTGAAGTCGAGACCGAGATGCGTCCTTTGACCTCGGGGACAGGAGGTCCAAAAAAGTCAAGATGGAGGCTGTAACCAGGCAACGCAACGCCCCTAAAAAAAAAAAACCAACAACTTCCAATGCCCAGTTTTGGGCAGTCATCTCGATTTGCTTTGAGCCTTCAGTGCTTCGTTTCTGTTTCAGACCCAGGAGAGTGTTAGTGGGTGGCGGGGGGAAAAACCAGCAAGATTTGGAGATTTGCAGCCAGCAAGATTTGGGATCGTGCGCACCAATGCTGCAGGATTTCTTCTGTGCAGGATTCCTTCTGCTTCTCGCCTCTCCCCTCGATTCTGCAGCCTCTTCCACTTTGAACGGAGGTGGCGTCTGGAGCGGCGTCTGGTCTCCAAAGGATGAGCCCCTGACTGAAAGTCACCTTCAGAGTTGCCACTGGCGCCCACGAGGCGTGGTCTCTGCATTGCTCGCCACCTCTCCGGCCCACCTTCTGCTGAATCAGCAAAACTGGGAGGTTAAAAATATCCCGGGATAGACAAGATCCAGGAACTGCAGTTGTGTGTGTGTGTGTGTGTGCGCGAAACAAGAGTTACAACTCTGGCACCGAAACCTTCTCTAATATATCCTAGCCAGCGTGGCTGAAGCCCAACCGCTGCCAAAACATGTCCGTTTGCTGAGAGAGAGAAAATATCTGGGCCGCTGTTGCCTAAAACTGGTGTCGAAACTCAACCGAAGAATGGAGTTTAGTTTAATTTGTCGTCATGGCACCTCGTACAACGAAATCAAAGACCATTTTCAGTGTACATTATAACAATAAAAATAAAACGCAAACACACCCATCTTTCACATTCTATACATTGAACTGAAAACTCTTGATGTTGCATTCATATTGTAGAATTACAGTAGAATTCAATAGATACAGTAGAATTTCCCGCTCAAGCAGAAAAACGTATGCCCTTCAAGAGAAATGACTGTCCCATCTTTTCTCAAAAACTTCCAGGGCTGGAGCAGCCACAAGTTCTGGTGGCAAGCCGTTCCACTGGTTATGTCAGGGAATATATTCTGTTTATATCTAGGTTTCTTCTCTCCTTGATTTGCTCACTTCTCGTGCAAACCTCAGCTTTATATAATATATAATATTATTATAATTATTATGATAGTACTACATTACAGTGTAATGTACAATATAATAATTACATTGCATTGCATCGTGTTACCATAATACTTTAATGGATTCATTGGCCAGATTCAGACCGTATGCGAAAAATATGTTTCCTTTCTTACGTTGTTGTGAGTGAACCCATCCAATTCTTTATTCAGCCGATGCTGCCGAGACAAACCACGGCTTAGCATGTCGTATGTACTTAGATGCTAGCTTGCTACGCCCTGCTATCCAAAGTAACCTTTGTTACAGGAGATAGCGATAGCTTTCACAGCCCTCTCTAAGCAGTTTAGAGAGTTGGCCTCTTGCCCCCCACCAATCTGGGTCCTCGTTTTAGCGACCTTGGAAGGACAGAAAGCTGAGTCAACCTTGAGCCGGTCAGGATCGAACTCTTGACAGTTGGCAGAGTTAGCCTGCAATATTGCATTCTAACGATTGTGCCACCATGGGGAATAAAGCTAGCGGGGGAATCAATTTTACTGATTTTCTATTAGCACCAGAGCTAAAAAAAGGAGATTCCAATTGCATTGTTTTGGTATCCGGTGTTGAACAATTATATATACATATAGGAAGATGTGGTAAGTTTGTAGAACAGTTTCCCAAAGCGTTATTGAGGGCCGATGACCTTAGAGCGCCATCTCCTGGTGCATCGAGGCAGTAACACCCACTGCATTCCAACTTCCCTTGTGAGCTCCTGTCTTCAAAGCTGCTTTTTCAAAAACGGACTTCTT